AAATCGGTTTCGCCGTTTCACAAGAGCATTGTGCACACCAGCCAGTCAGTGCGACTGTTTATGCCGGTCAGGTCAGTGCGGCAGTGTGCACGCTGATCAGAGCGGGGTCAGTGCGGCGGTGTGCACACTGGTCAGTGCAGTGGTGTGCACGCTGGTCAGTGCGGGGTCAGTGCAGTGGTGTGCACACTGGTCAGTGCAGTGATGTGCACGCTGGTCAGTGCGGGTCAGTGCGGCAGTGTGCACGCTGGTCAGTGCAGCGGTGTACACGCTGATCAGAGCGGGGTCAGTGCGGTGGTGTGCACGCTGATCAGAGCGGGGTCAGTGCGGCGGTGTGCACACTGGTCAGTGCAGTGGTGTGCACGCTGGTCAGTGTGGGGTCAGTGCAGTGGTGTGCACGCTGGTCAGTGCGGTGGTGTGCACACTGGTCAGTGCAGTGGTGTGCACGCTGGTCAGTGCGGTGGTGTGCACGCCGGTCACATATTGGTCAGTGCTGGTGGTGTGCACACTGGTCAGTGCGGGGTCAGTGCAGTGGTGTGCATCCTCTACACACTAAGCTGCATCCCTAGCCCACATTTGTTTTTCAGTGTGAGGACTGGAAGGGGAAAGGAAGGGGGCCCTAGCTCCCTATCTCCCCCTCTTCTTCCTGACCCTCAAGAGTTCCCTGTTGACACCTGGTGTGGTCCACCTTTTTATCCCAGCACTCAGGAGGCACAGTGAGATCCAGGGCATGGTGAGACCCTGTCTCAAAAACACAAATACAAGAGATTTCCCTAATGGCTTGTCCCGTGCCGGGGCGTCTGAACACCTCTCCGCGCCTTCCATCTCAGGAGCCAAACTGAAGGAACGCTGGAATCCCCTGGTCTCCTCCTTTATTGCTTTCCCTTGCCTGATCTAAGTGCCGAAAGCTGAGACTAGGGAATCAAATACACAGGTCTCGGCAGGTTTTGTTTCCAGCATTGGGGCCTCTCCCTGAGGCCTGCCTTGGGCCTGTTTCTTAGTCTATAAAGTGAACCTAGTTACTCATGCCCTGCCTCGCTTAGTGTAAGGTTGCTCTTGGACAGTTCCCTTAGTGTCTACAGAGGTGTTGGGCCCTGCCCCTGAGGACATCTGGCCATCCTGGCCATGCAGATGTGCATTGGGTTCTACAAGGCTCGTTAGCCTTTGAACGGGACCACCCTCTGCCAGCCTTCATACTTAGCCTGGAACAAGATGGCCTTTGCGTGCAGGGACTATGCCTACTATGTGTTGGGGTGGGAAGCTCCCAGCTGAATTTGACAACACCCATGCTCTTAGGTGTAAGGAATAGGCTTTTCCTCCCGCCGCTGGTCTTGTCCCGCCGCCGCTCCAGCCCCAATTAACACACAGAGACTCTGTATTTGATATAATTTTGTTGGTCTGTTACTTGTTTCTTATCAGCTAGCTCTGTCTTAATTATCAACCCATTTCTGTTGATCTATGTATTTTCACGTGGTCTCCTTACCGGGGAGTGGGGCAGGCGTCTGGTCTACCCAGTCTCTCCATCTTGACTCCTCCTTACTACCTCCTCTCTCCTCCTTGTCTCCTAGTCCCGCCTATCTTGTTTTCCTATTGGCCAACAGTGCTTTATTCATTAACCAGTATGAGAAACATTTACAGAATGACATCTCCCATCACTTAGGGGATTCCCGGTCCAGTGAGATGACTTAGTGGGTAAAGGCTGTGCTATGTCCTCTCGAGGCCAATCCCAGAACCCGTGTAAGGATAGAAGGGGCAAACTGACTCCACGAAGTTGTGCTCTGGTATCTCCATACATGCACCTGCATGTGCGCGCACGCACGTGCTCACACACACGCCCGCGCGCACACGCGAGCACACACGCACAGTGGCTCCAGTCCTGGTCAGCATCACTAGAGAAGGTAAGCTGAGCTGTGAGGTCAGGTCCTGTTGCTTCCATGCCTCAGGTTGTGGGGCCAGTGGTTTATTTAACCCTCGGTGGCAAGGGAAGATGTTGGCGCTTGGGGCCTTACCCTACCGAATGAAACTCAAATGAAGCTTCAGTGCTTTAGACCTCCCCGATCCAGTGTGCAAACGGCCTACAAAAAAGACAGCCTAGGTCGAGAGATGTCCAGTGCTCTCAAAGCATCATCCTCAGTCAAGTGCATGACCAAACAAGCTCACAGCATCGAGCAGAGTTCAGGACAGCAATCGTTGCCCACTGAGTGGTCGGCACGTCACATGCTGTGGCCATCTGAGGAGGAGAGCTTGGGCCAGAGTCCCGGAGTCTACCCACACCTGTCTCTCGGCACATAAACTGCATTCTGTAGGTGGAATTACATTCTAGATGTAAGGCTGGCTCTAGGCAAGTGTGAGAGAGGAACTTGCTTTCCTATCCCTCCAGGCCAGGGCCCCTGCGGGAAGAAGGGAGACCCTGAGTAAGTGAGGTGCCTGGAGATGGGGACCTGGAGATGGGGAGTCATCATCTGGGGCCCCTGCCACAGTCGCTCCCGGTGGGCCTCACACAGTAGGAGCGTCTCTCCTCCTCTCTCTGATGAGCAGAGCCTTGGGGACTCCAGGACCCTATTCCCATCACCTTCTGTGGGAGGCCTGCTCAGCTCCACAGCATGTGGGCCTAGGGTGATGTCCTCCTCAGTCTCTGTAGAGACCCGAGCTTCCAGCAGCCTGGGATAGGAAGGGCCTAGCATGACTTAGCCCACAGTGGGTTCTTCATACATGCTAACGAGGGAGGGGGAGAAGAAACAGACTCCTGTGGGGAATAGAGGGGCGAAGCTCTCACCTAACTGGCCTAAGGGGGGGCTCCCTAAGGCAGGTGGAGGGGCGGGGGCACATGAGGAGGGAGGGCCTGATGCCTTCAGGAATGAGTTTGTAGGACTTGTCTCTCTCTCTCACACACACACACACACACCCCTCCCGCCCCCTGTAAGTCTTGTAATTTCGTGCTCCAAGGAACCACAAAGTAAGAGAGTTGGTGAGGAGTGAATTCAACTCCGGCCACTCTGCTGCCAGGGTTTGCCCCCTTCCCACTGGCTAACAGTGTCTCTTTTGAATCACCGGTGCTCTGGGGTCAGTCCCCACTCCCACCCCTTACTGCCTAGTCTCTGGTCCCAGCTGCCCGTCTATGTGATCTCCACCTCGAGGACAAGGAGCATTATGTATGGTTAGACCTGTGAGAGCCAGGCAGCGGAGGCCAGAAGTCCTTCCTGAGGGCCCCCAGGCCACCTCCTTGCCTTTCTACACCCATTGCTGTCCTCTCTTCCTGTAGCTTCTGTCTCTTGACCCAGGAAAGTCCAATTTCTGTTTCTAAAGAAAACCCTTCAGGAGAGGCAGCATCCCGACTCCACCTGAAAGACTGGGACATTTGAAGGAAGGAGCTGGAGGTGGTGGGAACAGGACTACCGAGGAGCATACACGTTCCCATAGATACACCAGCGAGTATTTAGATAGTGTCCTAAGGTAAACTGCACGGAAGCCCAAGAAGCAATGCCAGTCAACACTGAAGGGCCATGCGGGTGGACTGTATATATATAGTTTACGCTGGGTACACAGTGGGTGCTCAGAGGGTGTTTGCTGAGCTTCGAGTGCCCACCACCACCGTGGTGCTGCCGGGGCTGGAGGTGCGGCTCAGTGGTAGAGTGCTTGCCTAAGGGTGCGGAGTCAGGGGAGAGGAGAGAAGAGAGTTTTACCTTCAAGATGCTGGGGTAGGAGAATGGAAGGCATAGGAGAAAGAAACAGGTGTCGGTCGTCAGCTACGAGACGGGCACCTTCGTTTGGATGTGCCAAATGCGGGCCGATGGCAGTAGGCAAGTAGAGAGCCACCTGGGAGTTCTGGAGAAGGAAAGGGTATGTACTTTCTGAATGCCAGCAAGGTGCCACTGCTGCTCTGTTAATACCTCGGCATGATTCCGAGGTGGGCAGTGTCCCAGTTGTGTGGATAAAGAGACTTAACCGCTAAGAGATGGAGTGCCGAACCCAGCCTGTGAGCTCCAGAGCTGGGATTGCAGCCCACACCTGCCTGGGGCCAAAGCCCCGCCCCCCCGGGCTCTCTAGGAGGCCTTTGAGGAACCTGAACCGCCTGGACAGTCCCCAGGGTTGCGACCTCCTCCTGCCTCCACGGCTTGGGGATAGGGGATAGGTCTTGGCTGGGCCCCAGAGGACTGGCTGCACCCCCACCCCATTCCTAGGATCCCTTGGCTCAGTGTCCCTGTGGCCACAAGCCCAGGCACTCCTGTGACCGACCGATCATTTAGACAGAGCCTTCAGATCTGATCAGTTTCTTCAGGGCCACTGACGCTGCCCTCCACCTCACCCTCACCCCCCACCCACACCTGTGCACCCTAGCTTCAAGGCAGTGCTGCCCTGGTGGCTTCTTGATTGACACCCACCTGGTGTCCTCATTAAATCTCAGAAGCAGGTGTCATGGGATGGACAGTTGGTCTTGGGACAAGTTACTTAATGTAGAGATTTGGCTGCCTCGTCTGGAATAGAAGGCTGATAAACCCTGCCTGATAGCTTTGTAAAGGACGATCACGAGCTTGCCCCTAGCTCTGAGTGATGCCCAAGGATCTCTAAGTTCCAGGTAGGCCTGGTCTTGAACATAGTGAGTTCAGGGCAGCCATGGCCTGCCTCACAGACAGACAGACAGACGTCTGTGAAGCACCAGGCCCCTGGGTTCTCCGGGAAGAGCACCCACCATTCTACCCTGAGTTCACCTTCCTGCACTTTTCACCTGGAGTCCTGTTGACCCTTGACCCTTTCATTTGCTGTCCCAGTTGAAAACCAGTGACCCCTGGGCGAGTCCTAGAAGCCCGCACTGTGACCCCTGCCTTGACAGGTCTCAGGGACTCAGCCTCCGCCCCTGCCGCACGCGGACCTGCGGCCCTCCCTCATGACCTTCCGGCGTTGTGTTCGTCCTGACTGCCTGAGCCCCCACCCCGTGCACTCCGTGATCCCAGGCACCTCCGAGGCTGTGCTGGGACCTCGCTGACTCAGCCCCTGTCTTTCAGGCTCTCCAGGTGGCCCGGCAGTTCCTGTTGCAGCAAGCCTCCAGCCTGAACTCCCCGGGGAACAATGACAGCAAACAGTCGGCCTCTGCGGTGCAGGTGAGAGGGGACACACCCACCCGGGCCAGGCAGGGCGGGGCTGGGATGAAGGGCTGGGGCTTGGGGGAGATGTTGGCATGGGGGGGGTCAGAGACCCCTCAGAGCCAGCCAGTCTTCCCAGCCCCCATACTCCTGAGAGGTGCCGTCACTCCAGGGTGGGCGGGGCACCACCCCTCCCCTGCCTCCACCTGACCGGCCAGGCCTGGGTCTGCCTGGCTTCTTTGTCTGCTCCTCTCTCTGGACCTGACTCACTGGGGTTCCTCCCACCGGTCCTCGCCCTGGCTTTCAGGCTGTCGTCCTTCCTCTCCACGTGTTACCCTGTCCCCAAGCTGGGCCTTGGCCCCTCCCCGATTTCTCAGTTGAAGGATCCCTGAACTCCCCCTTGTCTCTCCCAGTCTCTCGTTTCCTGTCTCTTGCCATCCCTGTCTCTTCTGTTTTCCTTTGCACAATCTGCCCTTTTTTCCCTTATCCCCTCCCCCTCCCCCCAGCCTGTCGGCCCATCTGGCTGGCTGGAGGGGGAGGGGAGCCTGGCCTTCTGTTTACCTTTTGTGTCACAAAGAACTTGGGAGAATTGCAGTCTGGGTCCCAATGGGTCACTACTCTGGCTAGCCACTTCCTCCCAGCCACTGAGCCCCCTCCCTGCTGTGACAGACGGGGTGGCTGGGACAGAGGACGGGACTAAGCCGGGCTCTGAAAGGAAGTTTCTGTGAGAGAATGGGCTGAGCACTGGACAGACCTGTTCCTGAGCCTCTAGGGCCGTAGGGGACCTGGAAGACTTAGGGGAACAGGGACGTAAGACGTAAGCTAGGCTCAAGGACGAAGGACTGACTGCGCGTGGTCCTGGGAGGGGACTCTGCTCACAAAGTTACCTGTGCTTTTTTTTTTTTTTTTTTTTTTTGCAAGCGTATGTTTGAAAACTGCTTTGAAAGAGTTCAAGGTGCCAGCCAGCTGTGCAGCCACTGACCGTCAGGTCAGAGCAGCCTGAGAGTTCTCACAGTGGGAGCTGGCAAAGGGTTGTGGCTGAGGTGGGGGAGACAGAGTCTGGAAAGGCAGCGGGGTGCTTGCAGCATGAGGGAGGGAGACAGTTCTCATGGCGTGTGTGACTAGGTCTCAGAGGATGAGAGACCTCCCCCAGGATGTTCCCTGGGTCCACAGTGGCCCGTCCCACGCTGGCCTATCTTAGGACCTCCTTGTAAAACAGAGGTGAGAACTGTGGAACAGGACCCCGCCCCCCCCATAATTGGAAAGCGCCAGGTGGACCCTAGCAGGATAGGAGGACTCGGGTGGCCTTGGAGGAGAACCAGCACCAGGGGACTTTCCATCTGGGTCCTGGGTTGTTGCCTGAAGGTCACTTCCTTAGGACGCTGTCCCCTGCCAAAGAGTTGTCTTGAATTGGGCCCCAAGAGAAAAACAAAAGTATCTGTTCTTTCTTTGCTTCTCACCTCATCCACTCGGCACACCGCAAGTATTTCTTTCTTCCTTCATGTGTGTGCACCTGCGTTTGTGTGCACATATATGTATGTATGTGGGGGCCAGAGGATCCGCAAGATCAAGATCATCACCACCACCTTAGTCTCTCAGTGGCCTGGAGCTCAGCAGTTAGGTTACACTGGGGTGGGTGTCCAAGACCAAACTCCAGGCCTTCTCAAGCATTGAACCAAATAAGCCCCCGCCACCCCCCACCAGACCCAATTCAGGGTGCTTACCCAAGGCTGGCCCTTTACAAGTATCCCGGTACTTTGCCCTCGTACCCGTGGGACAGCTGCTATTATTAATCCGTTTGCAAATGAGAAAGCCAAGGCTCAGAGAGAGTACCTATCCAAAGTCACTCTGTGCCCTAATTTCTGTCGCTGTGATAGGAGGCCCTGATGAAAACCAGCTCAGGGAAGGAAGGGTTTGTTTGGCTCACAAGTCCAGGTTACATCCCATCATTGCAGGGAAGTCAAGGCGGCTAGACAGAGCACCTGCAGAACAGAGAGAGCGGATACCTGTGTGCCTAGGGCCAGCCTGCCTTCTCTGCTCTTCTCAGGCCACTGGCTTTCAGGCTAGGTCCCACCTCCACACCCCACCCCCACCCGCCAATTAATGTAACCAGGACAGTCTCCTACAGGCATTCCCACAGGCCAACCTGATCTAGACAGTCCCTCACTGAGGGAGGCTTCTCTCAAGTGGTCCTGGGGTTGTGTCAAGTTGACGGGTAGAGCCCACTGCAGCATCCTACAAATAAGGGCAGAGACTAGACAACCCAAGAACCCGGCTTCAGGCCTCTGCCCTGTGTGGTACCTGAGTCAGCAAAGTGCCAGGGCCCCTCAACACCCTGGGGTCCCGGAACATAGCTGGGGCTGAGCTTCTACCCAGTCCTGTTTGTCCTGCACCCAGGCCTGCCTCCCATGCTCCTCCCCAC